TATGGCAGAAGAACGTAAGGTACTACTGCTAAGTTTCATTGAAGAAGAATATTAATGTACTTTGGCAACTGACCCAAACCCAAGTCTTAGACCTGGGTACCCAAACCCAAACCCAAGTCCAAGACTTGGGTACCCAATACCCAAACCCAAGTCCGAGACTTGGGTACCCAAACCCAATACACCCAAGTTGCTTGGGTTTGGGTTTGGGTTTGTAACATACCTGCAGAGCAGTATTTTTATACAGAATGTATTTTATTATTCTTGACCTATGTAAAAGTACACATTGACAAAGTACAAAGCAAACAGCAAGCTCAGTTAGCTGAGTGGATTTGCTTGCTTTGTAATTTGTCTTTCTGTTTATAGGTACCACGTTCGAATCCCGTCGACGGCACTATCATATAACATACATTTCTTTCTAGAAAGTCAAGCTTTTCTCATATCGACGCACACTCTACTGGCTAATAGACAATGAAACCTTAGCTAGAAATTAAAAAACTTTTTAAAAGCATATTTTTAAAGAAAGAAAAAAGGCATTTAAACGCGTCTGGGAAAAAGATTTGCTGTTGTATAAAATGTTTTTACCTTTAATACATTTATAGAAATGAATTCTGATAAACCAACAACTGCCAATCAGTTGTCAATTCGAGTTTCAGTAACGTAATCCTCTTTAAAAGCGTTTAAACGCTAGTAAATGGTCCGTTTTTGGAGCGATTAAACGCAGCAGAAAACAAGTTTTCAGACGCGTCTAGGATCGAAAAATATTTACATGAAGCCTAACCAATATTCTTCCTTGATAATTGCCCTTGTTCAACTTTAAACGTTCGATTTTGTTTCACTATTTTGTTCTTCTCAAGTAGAATTATTCAAATTATGTAGAGAGAAAACAGTTAAAAGAATAACATAGAAACGTTACTCGATGACGTTACGTCGAGTGCGTAGCATCCATAACTGAACGAACGATTAGTACTAGAGAAAGGGAAAGACTGTGATAAACCCATCGCCGGTCTATACATAGTAAGATAACAACAGTAAAAAGAAAGACAAATAACTAGTGTCTTGTCAGTAAACCGGCTGTTCTATATTGAAAGAAATAGTTACGGTCTCGAAATAGTTTTCGGTTTTTTACCGACATCTATAGATGCTTTCTAACTTTGTTCATTAAAATGATGAAGACAAACAGACTCGCATGACACCGAACAGCCGCAGTCCATACATTTAATATTTCGGAACATATAAAGGATGTTTCATAAGTTCTGGGCCTCTCCGTATTTTGGCGATAATATTTGTTCTTTTCAACACTCAGACATAGATTTTGTGCTGTAGAAGAATTCTAATTATAGCTAGCTGATAGCGTTTCTCAAGCGCTACAAAATGACGAGCGTTAATTTTTTCATGTCTTAAAAAGTCAAAAAAAAGAATAAAACCAAACAACTGTTTTCTTAGTTGGAAAATTGGCAGTCTCAAAGTTTCTCAGTACTTTTCATGCAGTTTTTCACTTTTCTGTACTAGAATAAAACACTTAGCACATTTTGAAGAGAATTTGATGGCGCATCTTTTGAAAAAAATCTATGTCTGAGTGTTGCAAAGAAAAAAACTTATCGTCAAAATACGGAGAGACCCAAAACTCATGAAACTTTTTACGACTGAATTCTTGACTTTCCAGAAAATGCGGAATTTGAAATGACATTTAATCACTTAAGTGACACTTTGGAACTTAAACACTTAAGGTGACACTTAACTCGGAGGTACACACATTTAAAGTGAGGTTTTATCCCCTTGAGTTTGTTAGCATTTTACCGGAAAGAAGTAAAACGCTTATATCTCACGAACCATTTAGTGAAAGAGGCCCAAACTTGGCGGGTGATCAGCATTCGATAAGAGCTATAACCACACAAAATTAGAACTCCCTAGCTATCATGGTTCTTAAGTTACAGAGAGCCCGCTACTTTTGCGGAGTACTGTATCTTTATATGTGAACTATAAGAAAGTCTATTACATCGTCTGGCATGTTAGCCTGATCGTGAAAATATTTTGATAAGGTATTCCTCCCGAAATACTCAAGATACTGGTCTTCTGGTTGAGTGATAGGAGAAAGTATGTCTTCTATTATTTAAATTGTAACATTGGCCTGCAGGTACCCTTCTAAAAGGGGTGACGAGATGTGCAGAATCTATACGCATGTGCTTATGGTTAGAAAATCATGAAATTTTATTAAAGCTTTTATTCGTATGAAAATGCGTTTTTCGGAATTTCACAATGCATTTTTCGATGAATGTGAACGACAATGAAAACGTTAATTCGCGCGTTTTGAAATGATTCAAAAATAAAAACAGAGGGAAGATAAAGAGGTTTGAACCTTCAACATTCCATTAGATGACAACAAACTACTGGAAAGCAGCAGAATGAGTACTGAACAGTTCGAAATAAGGAAAAATCTCATTTTTAAAGTAAAAACCAAGAAAAAGCGTTTTTAGCGAACGATCGTTAAAAGAGCCGTTTAAACGCGTTATTTCGACAACGTGTTTGATAACGATCGTTAAATTAATCATTTTTTGGCTTCTTATTGAACGCGTATTCTAACGACGTTAAAATAATATAACTTCGAATTATTTTTGTAAACGCGTTTCAACAATTATTTTAACGTCGTTGGAAAACATGTTCAATAAAAACGCCAGAAAACGGCTCTTTTAACAATGATTCGCTAATGCGTTTTTCATACTGTTTCTAACGATTTTTTCACCTGGGTTGATCAGAATATATCTTCAGCAAATAAAGTAAGTTACAGATAGATTTTCTTTTCTTTTTGGCAGAGAATACGAATCATGATAATTTTACTTAGTTATAAGAGATAGGAACTGCAGCTCGCAGAGAACTCCTATAAAGAGGATTACGTTACTGAAACTCGAATTGAAAACTGATCGGCAGTTGTTGGTTTATCAGAATTCATTTCTATAAATGTATTAAAGGTAAAAACATTTTATACAACAGCAAACTTTTTAACTTCTTGTGACTTGATGGTTCGGTGCGAATTATTTTCCGCAATGGTATATTCACTGTAAAGTAGTAGATACGTTGTAGAATGTAGAAAAAGAATGATGATTTTCAATTTATCCGTATACAAAGTAGCCCAGAATTTTATAGTTCCATATGATTTTCAAGACTAATTGATTTTATATAAGTCTGAAAAGAATTTCTAGAAAATTAAGAGGAATCTTTAAAAAGTTCAAGATGAGTTTTTATAATATGCATTTAATTTTCTAGAAATTCAAAATTCATTTGTTAGAAATTTCAGTTAGGTTTTCCATTTGTAAAATCACTGACAGTTTCATATGTGAATAGATTGAAAGGCAAAATCGAATCTACTTAGTTTTGTGCACCAACAAATGTCGAGACTCACGTCTCACTATATATTCACGACAACATAATTGAACGTCACATTTCGATAAGCCAAGAAGTTATAAGCTCCTTTGACTGTGTTTATAATTGTAATTATGAAACATAGTCTTCACATAAAAAGCTAATTGCATATATACTTCGTCAACGATAGAACAAAAAGGAGAATGAAAGAAAATCCGAAAATCATTTTGATTTGAGAAAAAAGACTGATTTTTCAAAAAAAACAGGATTTATTTTCCACATTAATTTTTCAGTAAAATTAAAGCAATTTTCTTCTTTCTCGTCAGTACTGATTACGGAAGAAAAGAGAATCCATTGGAAAACCTATCCTACTGTCGCTGAGGTATGCACCAGTTTGTAGAACTAGTGTCTGAGCATCCAGGAAAACTCTTATAACTCAGTTATTAAGAGTGTCTCGGAGTTGTAGGATATCTCATTTTGTAGAGAAACGTTCAGTTTACAAAATTTTTCATTCAAAATAATTTTAAAGTTAATTGTGTCTCATCTAAAATAGTGGAACTGTTCCGCACAACGCTTGTATTGTCCACACAAATAGCTTTAAAATTATTTTGAATGAAGGATTTCGTAGAGCGAACATTTCTCTACAAAATGAGATATCCTTCAACTCTGAGACACTCTTAATAACTGAGTTATAAGAGTTTTCCTAGATGTCCAAACACCAGTTCTAAATTTATGACTGGTGCATACCTACTGTTTCCTATTTGGGCAAAACGACGAATAAACTTTCATTGACTCTAGGTTAACGGGCTCTGTCGTCTTCACAAGATGCGCAGCACAATTGCAATCTAATTTATAGAATTCTACTTTTTAATGTTACCCTGAAACTCCAGAGAAATGTGAAGGAAAAAAATGAACAGTGAATATCTCTCTCTCTCTCTCTTCCCACTTGATTTGACAATTGAAGAAAATCACTAAACTTTTGTTGTTCGGGGTTCTGTTTTCCGGTTTGTAACATGAAAAGAAAAGATCACTCTTTTTTTTTTCTTTTTTTTTATTGTGGCCGTCAGACCTAAGTAGAATGAATGCTTTTTTTTTATTCTTTTTCTCTATACTTTTTGGTTTTGGATTGTTTCTTATTCATTATTTAAAAATTATGGGCGAGAAAGAAGAAACTTTTCCAGCTACAAAACGATATGTTGCTGATGAAAAAACACGTAAAGAAGTAAATATTTGAGTTCATAAACGAATTTTATCAAATATCGTTGTTTTTTAAGGAACTTTAATTTCTATGAGTTTTATCGAATTTTATACTTGAAGAATAAAAAGGTTATCTTACACCTTTTCTCATTCGTGTTTCGGCAAAAAAACAGAAAAGAACAGGAGATTCAAAGTCAATCAAACTCTGAGATTTTTTGGTCAAAAAAGGCATGATTAAGGTTTTTCTCTTCTTTACAGGCCGAATTATTACAAGTGATACATTCGATACAAAATCAGATACATTCGATCCAAGAACATCTTACAAAAACTGATGAAATGATTAAAAAACGTGATGAAATAATTAAAAAACTTGATGACAGGATTGAGGTGAGCTTCTCTGAATTATTCTTCTGTTTCATGTACCTGTCGGGTAAGAAAATAAAATGAGAAATTTTCAGTGGTAGTGGTTAAAAAAAGTCAGCTTTAGTGTCCTACTGTTCGCTGACATGAAAGAGAACAAGGTTACTGATCTTTGCTTAATTGGACTTCTGTTTATTATTGTTTAGAATTTAGAACTAGAAATTGACCAACTAAAAAACTATTTAGATCGAAATGAATCACGTAATGTTAAATCGAGTGGACCCCCTGAAACAAGTGTATAAATTAAAATAATAAATTTTAGAAGATTTTTAAAAGAAATTTTAGTAAGATATTCATAATGTTTGTTATTGTAGGTTTATGATTTTCATTGTTAACACTCTGTGAATAATAAAATGTATTATTTAATATCATATTTGTACACTAAGTCAGACTGCAATTACTACAGTCTTAATTGTTTTGGTTAGTTGAATAAATCATACAAATACTTAACAACACTAGTTGTGTAATACATAAAAAATATGAAGTTACGAGCTTTTAACCACTTACTGTGATCATCATCAGTCATAACAGCGATTGTAAAACGGTTACCATTCAGATCTTATTTTTCGCTTCTTTAGTTTACATTTTTCTATTAGTATTTTTACATGTAAACCCAAACAAAAAAATGCCTTTGGGAATATCCAGCTATAAAAATAAGTTATGTTATCGGGTAATATCGGCTTGTCGTAGCTAGCTATCCGAGCTCCGTATGGACTCAAAATTCTGGGTCCAGTTCAGTCCATGGACTGAAAAACTCTAGTACAGTCCAGTACGAATCCATGCAAAACAGTTTTTTTAGTCCATGGTCTCTGAAAAAGTAGTCCATCCAAGTCCATAATACAAAAACAACCTGTTTTTCCTCGATCCAGTGAATCCAAATTTTTTTTTTCGAGTCCTTGGCCTTGAAAGTTTGAGTCCAGTCCAGTTCGAGTCCATAAACTCAAAAAATTTTCAGTCCTGTCTAGTACATGTGGACTGGACTAGACTATGGACTCGGTCCAGTCCATACGGAGCTCTGCTGACTATATCATATATGATAGATAGCTACTAGATATCGTATCCGATATATCTGGTTGACAAAAAATACTGATTAGAGTAGCTGTTTAGTCGATATAGTGATCAATTATTACCCGATATACAGTGTGGACAGTGTCTGGCACTGCATCACTAGGTGTGACATTAGATATATTTACGAATTGTTGCCCGATATATTGGCTCATGTATTGATAGCATGAAGGATGCTGTCTGCATTGCACCTCGGGATGTCTGTGTACAAGAAAACAACTAGTGAGCACAGTAAACTGCACCATATATATCTGATTATTATCTCACATCTGAAATTCGTATGCTTTTCTACAGGATGACTTCTCGTCGACGCTTATAGGAGAATGAAGATTCAGAAATTTGGGCAAATACCGATTCTGAAAGCGAAAGTGCGTGATGAGACTCTAGGTGTTTCTGGTGCCATCGTGATGAAAATGATCAAAAAAATACCTTTATAGAGGTCATAATTTATACGTTGATAACTGGTATTCCAGTCCTGCACTATTCGAAATATTACACCAGAAGAAAACAGGGGCTTATGATACTTTGAAAGTGAATCGCCGTGAGTCATGGGACAGAAATGACAACTACCAAAAAAGTACATTATCAGATAGGTCGTCGAATTTCGAAACCCATTTCTGTCCAAGATTACAATGAAAATAGGGGACTTGTCGATAAATCTGACATGCAAATATCGTTTTCCGAGTCTCTCGGCAAATCGCTGAAGTGGTACAAAAAGTTTTTTTTTCCATTTGCTTGATATCTCGCTCTACAATGCCTGTGTAGTATACAAACTGAAAACTGGGGAAAAAATCACTCTTTCTGACTTTCGACTGAACGTAGTTCGGGCACTTATCGAAGAATTCGGCGCTCAAAAACTGGACAGTCGAGGCAGACCATCAATTGAGACTCCTGTCCGCATAGGTGGAGAGCTCGAATGACGGGCAAAGGCGTTGCTTTGTCTGCAGTCACACAACTCATGGTCCAAAGCAGGAAACAAAAACCAGCTACGAATGCAAAGAGTGCAATGTTGGCTTATGTGTAGTGCCATGTTTCGAAGCCTATCACACGCTGAAACATTTTTAATAAAAATTATATTGTAAAGAGCGGAGGTCATTGAGTCACGGACTTTTCAGAGATTGAGAAAGCTATTTTTCCTCCCAGACGGACGAGCTTTTCACAAACAAAAAAAAACCCGGCGCGAAAGGGTTAAATGCCTGTGTATAAACGGACTCTTATACTTTTTTGTCTATTATTACTTATAAAAATTTATTTCTAGATAAATCGGTTTTAAATTATCAACATACGATATGGTTCAGCGTAGAATGATTCATCCGTATTGCTTATTATAGACGGAAGCACCCTAGTTTCTCCTTCATTCTACACTTAAGCTCAAGAGTGTCGCTTAAAACTTCTATATTCTTCTTCTACTGCTGTTAGAGTGTGTTAGTTTGATTCCAGACCAATACTAATGTGTTCAGCATTTTTTTCTAGTTGCCGATTCCTATTAATGTTCAGGATGATAGGTTTTTCATAAAATAATTCTATTTTTACCGAAGAAAAAGATTCTTTTTGTGTAAAAGCTGTACTCTCGTTTGCATTAATAATACATTATTGTTTTTCAGTGCTATTTTGGATTTAATTACGAAGAAGCCCTTCTACATATAAAAGACGTTAAACTGATATCAAATCTCTGAGACAAAGCGATTTATAAGTCCATAAAGAAATTCTTCTTAAATACACTGTGTCTGAAGAGACAGTTGATCTTTCCATTTTCAAAGTGTTTACTGAGAGAAATACAATCGGGACATCAGGTTGACTGACTCTTCAGTTATGTTATTTGCTGTTAGAATCGCGTATGACTAGAATAGAGAACAGATTTCAAAAAATCAATACTCGCCAGTCAGTAAGGAGACACCTCCTATATCCTGATCGGAATATATAGCTCGATGGAGATATTTTTTGAAGGAACAGTGGAGCCTGTTCAACTACAATTTTCTGTATTATTCACAAATGTGCATTCCACTCTAACGTGGGCGTAAAAATCAACCCTAAATGTTTATATTCTTTTACTTCTTCCAAAACAACACTATTCAGTTTTAAATCTGGCAAAGCATTAACAGCTTTTTGTGGTAAAAGTCATTGTTTTATATTTATTTTCATCAAAGGGCAACTGCCAGTTTTTAGACCACTCATTGATTTTTTTGAAATCTCCATTTAACACTTTAGTGGTCGTTGGAAAACTTGGGTGTTTGGAAACTTCAATTGATTTGAAATAAAAATAGTTTAAACTAACTATTTTTTCGAACAAAAACCCTCTAACAAATTTTAGTTGAATTTATATCCCGATCGGAAAATAGGCGGTTAATCTTTTATTGCTCATAATGGGATATACTCTTGATCTAATCGCTTTCCACATCGACCCAATATCAGTTGTGAAGGCAGCATTTCTAAAGATGCCAAGAGAACATAATCATTCCAGGCATTGCGGCATTTATACTCATATTACCTGGCACGGCAACACCCCTTTCAAACTAATCAAATTTGATAACTCATCAAATTTCTGAGAAACATGTTTATGTGAAAGTAAGAAATTGCATTAATAATCGACAAAAAATGTTTAACCGTAATTGTTCGTTTTATGTCACCTGTGTACAAATTAAATAGACATAATCAGTAAATAGATACAATCAATGAATTATCATCATCATCTCCTTCAAAACATACAAATTTTTGATACCCTGATCGGAATATAGATTCTTTGTATATCTCAATCGGGATATCAAAAAAATTTTGCTGTAAAAAAATGATATCCCGATCGGGATATGTCTCCGCGCTGCCGACAGATAGTTTTTTTCGCACTTGTACTAATTAAACGGAAAAATTTGTTTTTTATCATGTTGACACATCTCGATTAGAATAATAAAGAGACAGAATTTGTCTTCATAAACGATGGCATTAGGATGTGATGCTGAAGATGATATATATAATAAAAATGATTGTGATGATCAGTTATTTTTTCATATACACCGATGAACCTTGTGTCAGAATTTATGACAGCAAATGGTTATTTAATAAGCATAAATAAATTGATCCTTGTCTGCTTGTCAGTTGTATTCATTGTAGTCTAAAAGATGGAAAATGTTATTTATTAATTATTAATTGACGACATCAACCAGCTGGTTGACTACATATAACATATATATTCATATTTATCATCAATTTTTTAGATGAAAAGATACTTGTTTCTGAGAGATTCATTTGAGGTGCCAGCAATTCAAAACTTAAGCAAAATTTACTTTTGCGATATTTGTACATGGTCGGATAGCGCTCGTCGAACTGAACAAGAATATGAGTATTTTAACCTTTCAAATCAAAATTTTAATGTCGAAAATTTGAAAATTCTAAAAAACGGCTTATTTTTTAAGCACGAACGTAAAAGAATCTTGGAAGTTTTTTATTCCTTGTTCTTCGTAAAAAACTGAATGCAATTGTGCTGCGCACAAGTTGCGATGTCAAGAGACACGGGTCGTATTAACAGAGAGAGGGAGATCTTCAAAACCAGGCGTATACGCTTCTTATTTAGCATTCAAAATGTGTTTAAGCAACGGATAATAAGTGATTAAACAATGGTTACACAGTGTTCTAACAATTTAACAACTGAACAATGCTTGCTAATGTTTAATTGAGCTTAATTACTGCTTAACGATGACGTCAATCCGTTGTAAATGACTAAATGCTCAGGTAATTGAATGTTCATCATATACTTCAATACTTGAATGCTTAGATTCTTCGCTGTTCAGACAATTAAATAATTCAACACTTATATAAACCAGCTGACTACAACAGTTAGACAGCGATATCATTTTATGCTAGAATAATTCTTAATGTGCAATTCTAACGCTAACTAAGCTTCTAAAATGTAATCTATCTTGCTCCAGCAAATGACGCTATAACTTAAGGGTTATCTTGATCCTAAAGAAAAAACAATAAATGTTTTCGATATTTTAATGACCTTGCCGTCTCTGTTAATATAACCAGTATCTGTCGACATCGCAACTTGTGCACAGCACAATTGCTCTCTAGGTTTTTTCTTGTTTAGTCACTGTTTTTTGGAAAATGTGCACGACATGATCTAGTGAACTATGCTGCGTAAACGGGAGCATAGTCTCTGGATATTGCAAATTGACAAGTGCAC